GAGACACGAACAGGATACATGTTTGTACGCTGACACGCCTGGCAATCAAATACCTACGAGGCAAAAGTAAGTCGCACACAATGATGGGACCCTAAACCCTAAATAAGTCGTAATTTCCATTTTATTTTTCAGAATCCCGAAGGGCTGCAGCGACAGAGAAGACAGCGAGCACCTCAACAAAGCAAAGTTTCCAATGTACGTTAGTAACCACTATTAGCACTATGAATACTTCTACTATTATGACTACTAGTATTACTATTATTCTTGCTCAACACTGACACGGTGAGAAGAGGGTGGGAGCAGCGGCAGAGCAGCAATCAATGGCAAAGCAACAGCAGAAGCAGCAAACAGAATCACCATTCCTTTCGATAAAGTACAGATGTAATAAGCCTGGAAAACTCTTCCAGTCCGTTTCGGGAATGTATTGCTCGGCCCAGGAAGTCGTCAGCCCCACGAACCGCAGTCCGAGCGCTGCCGAAGTGCGAATCTTGGAAAGTAGTCCTTGGCCATCAACAGTGTTCCGGTTCTTGAGCTGCTGATGCTGTGTCCTCCTTTGCCCAAGGTTTTTCCAATTGAGTGGCACTTCCTTTGCTGCTCTTCAGGTCAAGCTTCCAGTGCCTGCTCAAATCTCGGCCAGATTGAACAGCAGCTTGGACCTGCTCAAATTGTTCCAAATGTTTCCTGAGTTGAGGAAGAGCATTGCTGCTGGCACTGTCTATGTCGGTTTGTTAGTTTCCTTGCATGTGGAAGGAGGCAAGAACAATTACTTGATTCACCCAAATACAAAACACAAAGTTTTGTGGACGGTTCCGGATTGTTCTCCCCGCAGATGGGGCCCCATACAGAAGGATCCTGGCATATTGGCGAGCCCAAAAAGGGGCTGTGGGCTTTTCTGATGAAATCCTTCAGGCAGAGACCGCATGGATCCAGTGTCTTGGATTGCCATCTTAGTCACATTGTGGGGAAGTTCTCAAGCTTAGAGGCGTAGTGTTGTGGGAGCTTGGGTGTAAGGTTTTGGGGTTCTAGGCTGAGGGCTGTGTCTCCAGTTGAAACTGTTGAAACACGAGCTGTGTCAGAGCCTCTCGAGCCGACTGGCCTGACTACGTGTCAAGAGCGCAGTCCAATCCCAGGTGTTTGTAATCATGCAGTAAGCCTGTGACAAAATCCCTGGATGGATCTCCCGTATCACCACTCATCAGTTGTTTTAGCCCAAGCCCTAGAAGCCCAGACGCCCATACCTACATAAACGGGTTGTTCATACATACACTTGAGCTACAGGAGCCTATACAGTTTCTCATACATCACCCCACAACCCTAAACCCTACTTAGACCATCAAGGTCGAACCGCAGGCCCCGCCACTGCCTCCTTTCCCACCGCTGCCAAACCAGCTGCCGAACCACATGTCCGACCCAGATGCAGAAGCGCCAGGTGCTTGGGATTCAGGGGTTTGAGGGGCTAGACTTTAGACTGCATGGGATCCTGCTTCATGAGTTCTGCCAGCCCCTTCTAGAGCCTAAGAAGGAAGCCGTTCCACAGCTGTTTCGCATGACACCCAGGGCCTAGCCCAATCAGACATTTGCAAAAGGAGTCCGCAGCAAGTCGGGCGAGTTCATGACGAGCCTTGAGATTCCTCGGAGCCACCAGCCTGGTCGCAACAGGCGCGGCGTTGGAGTTCAATCTCAGCGGCAGGTGAGAACCAGCACCGTTGTGCAGTTGAAGTAGCACCGCCGTCTTCACATGGAGATGAGTTTGCTGATGCAGAAGAAAATAGCCAGGGGCGTAGAGTGACCCTGCACGTCGCGTGGCTCTGGTTTGAGATGAAGTTTGGGCAAGTTTAACTACATGAATTGACGGCGGGCAGGATCGGCGCAAAACCAGATGCCTTGTCCTTTGATGAGGACGAGATTCAAATAGTGCCTCGGCAGAGGCCATACTGCCCCAAACCGCCGCGAGTCCCTACATCCGACCAGGTTGGCTCTTTGCCGTTGGGCCTTAGTGACCGTTAGCCCTGAAGCTTTATACCGAACCCCTCGAGCCAATTCACATCTTAAATCCCAAGCTGTGTAGATAGTCCCTGTTCCAGGCTACGATTATGAAAAGCGTCACGTGGTTGTGGTAGTGGTATGTCGCAGGAAGCAGATCACTTTATTGATTTTATTGGTTTCAGCCACCAAAATAAGACCCGACCTAAGGCCAGCCGGCCTTCGAAGGACTCAGGAGCAGCTTCTGCTTCATATACTGGTAGCTCCTGGGCTGTGCTTAGTCGTCCTACTTGGAGGGTCAGGGGGACTTAGTAAGTAGGTCAGTAATAGGGGTAATTAGGGTTACTATATGGGTTATAGGCTATCAACCGGACGTGGGGGAGAGGGAGAGAGAGTTACCTTGCCAGAGTGTGTTATTCTCACATCCAGCTTCAGAAGTGGAGGATGGATGTGCCAGATGTGGGGTTTAGGGATACTGGAAAAGAAAATGGAAACTACTACATAGTATATTGGGGTTAGAAAGGGAAAACGGAAAAGAACATGGAAACAAATGTATAGCATATTGGAGTTCTATAGGGGTAATGGAAAAGAAAATGGAGACTACTATATAGTATATTGGGGTTATAGTATGCGTGTGCTCGTGGAGGCCCTAAACCCACTGGATTGGATTTCCCTAAACCCTAAATCCCTAAACCCTTAGCAGTAGTTTCCATTTTCTTTGCTATTATCGCTATATAACCTATATAACCCCAGTACACTATATAGTAGTTTCCATTCTCGTTTCCATCATCCCTACATTATACCCCTATATTGTAACCCCTAAACCCTAAACCCTAAACCCTAAATAACCCCAAACCCTAAGAAATTTACTTGGATTTCAAGTCCGACGCCTTGCCCGGGATGTAGTCACGAAGCCTGGAGACTTCTTAATGCTGTCGGTTTAGGGATTTAGGGTTTAGGGTTTAGGGCTAGACTCTTTACATACACGCTATACCCCTAGTAACCAGGGCCTAATCAGTTTACTTGGTTCAGGGTTTAGGGTTTAGGGTTGCGTGTCGTGCTATATGTTTCTTCCATTTCTTTCGCCGCTCTTCAACTTAAATAGCCCCCTACATAAGCCGCCCTACACCCTAATCCCTATACACATGACGCGCATACCGTTCTAATTGTTTGGGCTCCCTAAACCCAAAACCATAAATCCTAAACTCAAAACCCTAAACTCATTGGGTTGTACTGGATTCCGACGAGAAGTGCTTAGTCTTGCCTGAGTTGCCATACCGGATTGGAACCTTGCGCCGCTGTATCGGCCATGCATTTGGCAAACACCCGAAACCTTACAGGCCCCCTTCAGTACATAGAATATGGGTATAGGGGGATCTTACTCTGATACGGGGCAACACATATTCTATCTACTTAAGGGGACTATAATCCCAAAATTGTTCCAAACTTGTAGTCTCCATAAAATAGACACCTCATCCCTAGAATAGGCACCCCCAATTGTGCGAGACCCTAAGCCCTACCCCAAAAAACTCCTTTCAATTTTGGGAAACCCTAAACCCTATATATATATATGTATATGTATATGTCCCTTATATTTAGAAGGGATCCCCAAAAAGGTACCCTTAATTTTGACCAACCCTAAACCCTAAACCCTAAACCTTGCGATGCTGCCTCAGCCATGCAAGTGGCAAAACCCTAAACCCCAAACCCTTAAACCCTAAACCCCTAAACCCTAATTAATTTTGACCACACTTGGTCCAGGCGGCAGCAAGTCGCCCACTGCGGGTGGCCGACCGAGTCAAAGCCTCGGCGCAAGTCGCTGAGCTGACTTTCGGTTTAGGGGTTTAGGGGTTTAGGGTTTGGGGGTTTAGGGTTTAGGGTTTAGGGGTTTAGGGTTTAGGGGTTAGGGGTTTAGGGTTTAGGGAAGACTTTCAAGTGTAGTCTCCTTAGAAGTTACTTCTTCTTATAGTATAAGTCTAAGGATTTTTTAAGACGGTACTTTTACTCTAGGTCCAAGGAGATTACCTTAAAAGCCCTAAGATTTCAGGGGTTAAGGCCTTAGGGTTGGTTTTAGGGTGTGTATTGGTTGCTAGTGGGAGCATATTATACAGGAATTATATAGGGATTACATTCCCCTATTCCCTACGGAGAACCCGTAAGAAGAGCTCCAAGGCTTTAGCATCGACGGGTTTCTTTAGAGCTTTAACGGGATTATCCTAAACAAGGGTCAGTCTGCATAATAGCCGTTTCCTTTGGGATCCTTATAGTACTAATTGTCAGGTAGGTTTTGTACTAATTGTCATGTAGGTTTTGGGGTTAAGGTGACTGTATACTTTGAACCTCGAGGGAAGGGCTTGGGAGTTGTAGGATATATTCACATGTCCGTCCGAGTTGCGCAGGGATAGTATTGCTAGTCATTTTAGTCATTTTTGGGAGTTTAGGGGTTGAGGTGAAGAGATATTGGGTTCGAGAGTTAAATGTTTCAGCGGCTTAGCCTCCAGGTTAAGAGTTTTAGGGGCTTTGGAAGGTTTACATCCTGAGTGCGTCGCCACTCATTTTTTATTTATGATTCGAGTCTTGAAGCCCATAATTTCCTTCCTCGGTTTAGGGTATAGGGTTTAGGGTAAGAAGTCTGGAAGCCGAAAAAGAGTTTTAAGTTCAAGGTCAGCCAGGCGGGACAAGTCCCAGATTGTCACGCTGACGCTGTTGTCCCCAACGGAACGTCCGACTGTTCACAAGCACCCCCTACCAGCCCAAACAAGACCTCACACTGAAATAGACCGTCTCCTTATGAATTATTCGAAATTTTTTATCATAGTATAACCCTAAGGAAGTATTAGCAATATTCGTTTCATTATAGGTCCAAGGAGACTACAGTTCTGAACTCCATATCATGCCATTTTGCGAAAGTGCTCAATAAGGGCCCTGAGAAATTCATTGGCACATGCACCTGGTACTAAGGCCGTACTGATGTCAAGCTCTTCCGCAGAGCAGATGATTTCCTCGATCAGCTGAAGATGCCTTTCTGGCACCCAGGACAGGCCTGTGCCACATACGCTGCTGGTCAAGCTCCCGCGATTCAGCGGTATACTCGCCCAGCCTTTTCGGCGCCTAGAGAAAGCTGATTCATGCTGGCTTGATTTGCGCCTGGCTCAAACAGGCTGTGCGTTGCAGGACGCATCGTGAAAACCACGCAGTTCGATGCTTTCATTTGCGCAGTCATCATGCTGAACACCCTGGTGAGGCTTAGCCAAACTGACGACTTTTTCACAGGTGGGAATTTACTTGGGTCTTTGGCCCAGCTGTAGAGACGAGTACGCCTGCTGCCGTAGCAATTCGTACCATTGTGATTACCAGTGTTTTTGTCATAGCCTTTCCCATAGTGAGTACGTCCTTTAATCAGGAATTGGAGCTGTCCTTGCATGTTCATTCAGCACTTTTGGGCGTATGAGAGGGAGCACAGCTGACTCGTGACATGCCTGCTGCATCAATGATGAAAGGAGGTCAGGCTATGTCTAGGTCCCCAGACCTGCCAAACCCGAAGAACAAAAGATACAAGCTGAACCTGCATGCCACCAACCCCTGGACACTAAGCCCACAGAGGTCGAAATTCCTGAGCCCCAGCCGCGAACCTCAAGCCGAGGATGGCTTTTGAGTCGCAGTACTTGGGCCTCCAGAGAGGCACAGCTGCATGGGGCTGAACCAGTCTTCCCACGACACCTGCTGCTGCTGCTGCTGCTGCTGCTGCTGCTGCTGCTGCTGCTGCTTTGGTGGCGCTGGTGGTGGCGGTGGAAGTTGTGGTGGTTGTTGTTGTGGTTGTTGTTGTGATTGTTGTTGTGATTGTGGTGTGGCGGTGGCAGGGGGGCAGGGGCAAGGGCGGCGGCGTGGTTGTGGTTCTGGTTGTGGTATGTTGTGATATGTTGTGGTTGTGGTTGTGTTTCTTCTTGTTCTTGTTCTTCTTGTTGTTGTTGCTGTTGCTGTTGCTGTTGTTGTTGTTGTTGTTGTTCTTGTTCTTGTTCTTGTTCTTGTTCTTGTTCTTGTTGTTGTTGTTGGTGGTGGCGGTGGTGGCGGCGGCGGCGGCGGCGGTGGCGGTGGCGGTGGCGGTGGCGGTGGTGGTGGTGGCAGCTTGTGCTTCTTTTTCCTGTCGTCGTCGGCGGCGGCGGCGGTGGTGGCGGCTTGTGCTTCTTTTTCTTATTCTTGTCGTCGTTCTCGTTGTCGTTCTCGTTGTTGTTCTCGTTAAGGAGGCGGTGGCGTAAGGCGGCGGTGGCGGTGGCGGCGGCGGTGGTGGTGGTAATACAGATAGATGTGAGAGAACTTTTTCTTAGATATCCGCAGCTGCCACGCTCGTCCAGTGGACTGACATAAATTGATGCATTCCTGAGCCGTCGCGTGCCTTGCGCCGCCAAGACCCATGCACATGGCAAACGTCCTGTCAGTGGAGTCAAGTAAGTAAGTTCTCAAACCCAATGTCAAACGCACAGTGGTCGAGCAGTAGCTCTTTCTAAGCCTTAGGTTCTTTGGAGGGGTTGCGCAGGACAGTTACTCAGTTACATGCTAAATTCCAGAATTACACCTACAACATGCTATGCCTCATACATGTTCCTCAAATCTTGTTCTGGTCCTTCTGCTTGCTTAATTAAGCCCTAAATAACCTTGGTCTCTAAACTTACACATTGCGCAGTAAAAGCAGGCTACGACTTGGGGTATCCGCGCTTCACTCTGCCCGCCAGTCACCAGGCTGCAAGAAACAGATGGTTTAGTACCGTGATCCGGTTTAAGGTAGGTTAATTTTCGTGGCTTGGGGTGGGGCTATAGAAGGCCTCCAAATTGCCAACACTTCCATACAGTCCACACAGCAAATCATGCATTCTGCAGCAAGGGGCCTTAATACCTCCAAGGATTCCCATCCCCCATGTCATGTGGTGTTAAGTATAAGAATAGCAATAATAGCAGTAATGATAATGCCCCTACCCTCTGACGGCCTTGTACCCAGGTGAAGAGTGGCCAATTGCGGATCTCGCTTTTTTCATGCTAGCTCGCGGCTGAGCATGCCATGCTGCGGTGCACTGTGCATGGGCAAATTGAGACGGAGAAAGGATGGTAATACCAGAAACTCATTCACAGCTGCAATGAGGATTGGGTTTTCGGAGTGATCTACTTCCTGGAGATTTGCATCAAGATTACCGGACTGAAGTGCGCCTTCATGAAGGCCCGAAGTTGTACACCGCACGCTACGGACCAATAAGGTAGCTAATGACATAGAAGGTTCCGTCCTCAAGGCCTCTCTCGGGTACACTGAAGGCCTCCGCGTTTCTCCTAAGAGAGGGCGCCCTTTCAGGAAGTTTTGGGATAGCTGCCCTAAATGATGGCCTACATCCACGGTGTTCTTCGGCTGTAGCAGCTCTGAAGACTAAAGAATCTCGCGCTTGCGAGCTCTGCTGCAGGATCCATGGAACTACTTCGACACTTCCTTGGTGCTGTTCTGGCTGGTGGAGAAAACCTTGAGCGCGTATGCCACCTTGGACCAGGGACTCTTGCGAAGCTTGGTAAAGTGGAGCTGGAAACTTGAAGTCCGCCAAAGCAACATAATGTGTTATAATCAGGAACCAGAGCAATCTAAGGAGTGCTGCGAATGGGTCGCGTGTTGCGTCTTTTGCGGCTGGTGAAGACTATCCAAGGTTTTGATGCATTGCTCCTTCAGTTGCATGTGAGTTCGTGAGCTGCCAGCCAATTCTGCTCCAGGGACCTGTGTTTCCGCTCAGGTATATCATGACGACAGCTATGCAGGGCAGCGTCACAGTGTTGTTCTGGTCATTTGTGCAGCCTGGCCTGTTCGATGTGCATGCATGTAAGAGGTTGTTGTGGAAACTCTGAGCTTAGCAACGCCTATACAACCCCTATATCCCTGCATAACCCCGCCTGTTAAACATAGTTGGCCAGCTCCTGGCGCGCAAGGCTACTCATGGTGGTGCAGACCCTCATTGCGTTTACGCTCAACCAAGCCTTGGATAGCTACTTCAAGGACAAGACTAAGCCTGTCACTTGGCATGCACATGCCCAGTTGCACGGAAGATCCAATATGTTTGTCCGGGCTTACTCTGGCCCATCATCGTTTTTAGGGAGCTCTTTACGCAAGCTCCCACTTCTACCACGGCCCCTGCCAGATCAACGAGCAGCACCAGGTGTTCGAGTATTTCGGAACCGCAGGGCGTGCTATGTTCACAATGTTCGAGCTAACGCTGGCGATGCTCAGCTTCATAGTATGTTTGGAACACTGCGCTGGCAACTTTCACTGTTGGCTACTGGATGTACTGTCGTCCACTGTCGTTGGAAGTTTGGGCTTTCGCAGGGCAAGTGGAACAGCCGCTGATTCTGCCGCTAGTACTGTAGAATTGGGCCCCGTCCCCCGTGGAGATGAAGATCGACTGCATTCCGGACCTCAGAAGTGTCAAGCCACTGGCAACCCAACGACTAAGTACGTATTGCACGATCATGGAGTTGTGCGTGCTGGGGTGTGGCGAGCAGCAAGTTCATAATGTAAAAGCAAGTGCCGGCTCTTTCGCCGGTTTTGCCGTGAACTTGCTAAAGAGTTCACCTTGTGCCACTAAGTCTCTGTTACAAAGACCAATCGGACTATGTTGGACAATTGCATACGGTATGTATGAGAGCGGTGCTGTCTTTGGTGGGGGATGTCCCATGATAGGGCTAGGTGCGATGTAGGACAGAACTCGAGGTTGCAGAAGTCTTGGCTACATCCACCAATGATCTGAATCTTCTCCTCCAATGTAAAAACGCCCTCACAGCTGTTGTAATGCTATTGGTCTTCATTATTTCATAATGGTAGTTTCCCAAAATAAGGGGACCCTAATATAGACCCAAATATACTATAATCCTTATTATGAGGAACCCCAATAAGGTCCCCTAAGCCCTAAACCCTAAACTTTCCTAAACCCTATGGAATTGAGTTACAGTATGACCTGCAAGAAGCATTGGCCCTCAGATTCTGAAGATTCACTGCTGCTAAAATTGGTCCTGCTTGGAAACTGCTGGTTTTGGTTGCTTGGTGTGAGCCCACAGATGTGTGATGTCTGCAACTTCGAGCCATACTGAGTGGTTTAGGGTTTAGGGTTTAGGGGTTTAGGGGTTTAGGGTTTAGGGTTTAAGGGTTTAGGGGTTAAGAGTTAAGGGTTTAGGGTTTAGGGTGTCTGTGGGAAGCCTTCTGGTGGTCTGTAGAGTATGTGTAGTTGAGTAGCTCCGGACTGGACAGTATTTGCCGTGCTTGCTTGTGCGATGTGCGTGTCTAAACCCTAAACCTAATTTTGGGAAACCCCCAAATGGGTGATAGCGGGAGGTTATGTCTTGTCCTTGAGGATGAGGGGCTGTGCAAGAAAATCCCAGTTTCCATTTCATTTTCCATTTTCTTTTCCATTTGATTATCCATTATAGTGGTTTCCATTTTCTTTTCCATTGTCCCAATATGACCCTAAGAAAATGTGAGGAATTGGCCTGTGGCTGCGCGTATCTTGCAGGAGAATGTTACGGACTCTTGGACAAGCAGGTTTCATCTGACACTCATGGACCCATGTGTCACGCAAATGTGTCAGGCATGCCAGCCAAGGAATACTATGGCATCTTCTCAGTGGCATACAAGCTCGTTATTGGCTTCGCGGCTGTTGGAATCATCAATGCGGTCTTTATGCAAGAGACCTTCAAAGTGGCAGCATCGGATGATAAGCTTATGATGCGTCAGAAGGCAAGATCTGCAGTGTTCAGAAGAACTTGTTCTGCATGGCCCTTGACAAGCTGTTCTGGCCCGGTAACAGGAGCGAGATCGAATGTTGCACACCAAGAAGATGCGGACATTGTTTGCCGCTGCCGACGAATCTGGTGATGGAGTTCTTGCCTCCCGGCAGAAGTGCTAGTTTGCTTGAATTATAAGTAAATAACGCAGCAGGTGGTGTTCTGAAGCTTGGCCATACGTGACGCAGTCTCTTCACTTGAAGAGTTGACGAAGCGTGTGTTCGGAGCCTGAAGGGTATCGCGACAAAATCCTGAGGATCAAGATGAGTTCAGAGAGATCATGAACAGCCCGGATATCAGGAAGCCATCCCGCTCATCTCGCACATGCAAACTCCATACACTCCTTACCTGACGCCTCCCTTAGATTAGGAGACTGAATCATCGGAAGCATGCTGACGTTGCATTGAGTGCATACTTATTTACGAAAGCACCAAGGTCCTGATCACCAGGGCCCCCACATTAACTGAGATGCAGTCTAAGTCTAAACTCCTTAGATGGGATTATATCTAGGAAGGGGGATACTTGTAGGAGTTATGGCTATAGCCCACATTATGTGAATGTCCTGGATTTTGGAAATCCTAAACCCTGACCCCTCTCTACGGCAGGACGTGGCTCGCAGCACAGGAGCTTCCAGTCCGAGACCCGGACCTCCTATGGAAGTTTCTGGGCAATGGATTGGCAAAAATGGTTTAGGGTTTAGGGACCCTAAACCCTAAACCGCTTGGCTGGACAATGGATTGGCAAAAATTTCTTGATTTTGATGAGCAGAGCTACGTAATGTAGGGGTGCTACGGGTTCGGGTTCCACACGGTATGTAGGGGTGGTGTAGACACAGTACAGTTGAAGATTGCATTGATTGACTGGGACGGCTCTCAAAAATATTTCTCCCAATTTTCGGGGGTCTGCGTGATACGGACAACTTGTTTCTGCAGGGCACTTCATGTTCACAACATTGGCGAGTGTACAGGTTGGGTGTTTGTTCGAAATGGGGTTTATCTGAATCTGAACCCTGAACACCCCTTAGACAGGCCCCCCATCTCCCCCAGCAATTGACCACCCGAAGCCTGATTTGGTAGTTGCCCTGAGTAGGGGGACCCCAATCTACCACCCTCATATATTACAATCCTTAGGAACCCTCCCAAAAAGTATTTCCATGTATTTCCTTTTTCTGGAAGCCCCAAGTTATCACGAGGGTATGTCTACTGGAAAGCTAATGCAGGCATCAGTAGAATCCTTCTATAGTAAAGCAAATCAGGCTCCAACAGATTTTGATGGGAAATCGCGGAAATCCCTAAATTGCCTTCAAAGTCGATGCTCAAATCTTGAAAGTCTGTGCTCAATTGCTCGATGCCCAACACCCGTCATGAAAGCAGATATTCTCCGGGAAAGCAAGAAAGTAATGTTGGACCCTCTCTAATCTTGGGGACTCCTCCCCCCTTAAAAAAAAAGGGCCACGCATTAAACAGGACCTTCCCAACAATGGCCAGATCCTGAGTAAGCGGCGGCCGAAACACGTTAAACAGGGCCTCTTCACTAAAGTGAGTGCAACATTGCCATGCATTTTTGCATACACGCATTCTAAGGAAACAAGCAATACGACGAAAACATTGAGTTCGAACACAAGCAAACAAATCCCTAATCACCTTAGCCCCACATGTAAGTTGCCCTGAGTTTGTGAAAACATCCAACTGACTCCTCACACCTTTTTGCCCTTTCAAAGCTACTCTTCCAGCATTTCGGGCACTCAGGAATAGTCTCTGTGTGTTTTAGGTATGGGAGAGTTTTGCCCATTCGGCAGTGGGATTCTCAATGCTGGTCTAACATCTACCCAGGCTTCTTGACGACGGAGATGCAGAATTAACTGCTGAACCTCGGTCGGGCAAACTTGTCTCATTCTACGTCCAGCCTGCTTCTGCCAGCAGGAAATAGCCGTAGTTTTTGAGGTGTTTTCCTTTCAGCATCGCCGAACTAGGTATACATAGACGTTTCTGTTCTCCATCTGAGGATGAGCTGGTCGTAGGAGTGGAGCGGCTAAAAGGCAATGCCAAAGGCATTGACCTTGCTGCCTTTATGATGGAGACACGCGCCTGGGCGAGAACGAGTAAGCTTCATAAAGGGGTACCTTCCACTGGGGATATAAGGGTTACATAGGGATATCTAGGGATTCATAATATAGATTATAAAGGTATATGTAGGGTAAGGGTTTGGTTGGCGTAGAGTTCTGGGGTCTTGAGGGTGCACAAAGGGTTCCGTGTTTGTGCGCTGGACGCAGAAGACTTAAGGGGTTTGGGGTCCAGAGGGAGGTTACGGATGTGTGCTTCCGAGCTTGAAGGTTGACAGCTTTAGGGGCCAAGCAGCATTCGTGCTATGGGCTCATTTTCCTCATTTTGATTCAAAAGCTCCGCTCTCTAGAGCACAAGCCCTCCAATTTTTTGGCACCACGGAGGAAAACCTAGGATGTTGAGTTGAAGGCAGTGGTGAAGAGAAATCTGCATGACTTGACTTCGTAAAACCTGAGCCCAAGCTTGAGACCCAGCATCCCCAAGCATTTAGGATTTCGCCACCTTCTACAGGGCGAACTCAGTCAGAAATCCTGTTGCAAAAAAGGGTGGTTAGATTTTGCTTCACCCTCCGAAATAGGAACCATGATTTTGTGAAACTTGCACATGTATGCCCGTTGGCTCTCGCATGAATGTAGGCAAACTCTCATAATATAGAACTTTTTCATAATAGCCCCTCTGAAATCCGCAATCTTAAGTGGATGTGCATGCTGAGACTTTCCCCTTTTTTTGGAGAACTTCCCAACTAGATGAACTCTCATCTGCCTTCAGGCGAGTTTCAGAGCAAGATTTGCCAGAAGCTCGGAATTGAGCCGGACCCGAAGGAGGAGGATGATGACGATGATGACGACTGAGCATGCTGCCCAAAGGTGGGGCCGGCTTATATGTATATGTATATGTACATGTGTATGTATGTATGTATGTATGTATGTATGTATGTATGGTACCCCCGCAAAAAAACCTGCTTTATATGCAGAGATATATATGTATATAGAGAGAGAGAGAGAGAGAGAGAAAGAGAGAATCCCAGTTTCCATCTAAGTTTCCAGCTTGCCATAGCTGCCAGCTTCTGCCGTGCAGGCACATGTCAGTGATGGGCAACCTTGTACAAGTGTAGTCGCTGCAATGAAAAGAGCTTCTTGACATTCCTTCTCAGCCCGCCTTGCTGGTTGTTAGGATGGCGAGAGCTTGACTAGCGCAAGGGAGGTGTGCGTGGGGTCAGGACGTAGTTGTGCAGAGCTTAGCTACCGTGCCACCATGTCAGTGATCAACAGCAGCCGCGCAGAATTCAAGCATGTATAGCTGCATCCGCCGTGCAGCAGGGGAGGCCTGACGTTGCTTTTCGAGTTTCCTTTGATTGGATGAGATGTTACGTGCAGCGATGGTACCTGCGTACATGAGGCCTAAAAGTTTTTTGAACATATGAAGGCTCAACGGCATGAGGCATTACTTGCTTTTGGGTCCTAGGCCCTGCGAGGATAGAGATGCTTTTCTGAGTTTAGCTTGGAACCACTGGAATGAACTTTGGTCCAAAGCTGCAAGGTGTTTCCAACTAACCTGTTTTTTCCTCTACCTCACTGTGTTTTTGACGAAAAAAGTTGACAGGCATGTCTCCGCCAACGCCCGCTCCTGTCACGCGCTTACATGCTGACGAGAAGCATATGCAGTTGAGAAGAAGTTGCAACACAGAGGGTGCGGGCCCAAACCCAATTCCAAGACAATTAAAGTAGTTTCCATAAATGGGGGGACCCCAATATAGATCCGAAAATATTGTAATCCTTATCGCAACTCCTAATTTTGGGAACTTCCCCATGCAGGAATGGATGTCTAGGCGGCTGGGAAGAGATTCTCATAGTACACAAGATAGCCTGGCTTTGGGGTTATTGCGCTTGGAAAGGTGCTACGGAACACTGCATCCACTGCATGGCCTGACAGCACAGGCCACTGGGGGCAGCCAACGCAGAAGCATGCCGGTTAAGAAGGTCTTTGGGGAGGAATATTCCTCCTAGAGATTGCCCACAGAATATGAAGTAAGAACCATAGACTATGAGCCACATGAGTTCACAACATTTGAGAAGATTCCTTTCCTTCAGCAGTACATCCCAAAAGGCTAGCCAGAAAATTAACATGCTCTTTCTTTAGCAACGGTACCATGTCATACAGCAACACGAAGGTCGCGTTTAGATTTGATTCCTAGTTTTCCGGGGAGGGGAAAGGGACGGGAAAGATCTACCACCAGCTACTGCAGGGGGTGGATGCAAACCCTAAACCGCTTAGCCTGAACCCGCTTTCGCAGGTCAAGTTCCGCGCCATACGACCGACATCTCGAGCCGCCGACTTACTGGTGAATCTTCAGACAATTGTTAGTATTAGGGTTTAGGGTTTATATTACATTGCGAACAATAGTCTGAAGGTTCATCTCAACCCTAAACCCTAAACCGAAACATTTGTCCTTCTTTGTCCATATCTTAGGTGGACCCCCCACCCAGTAATAGTGACTATAAGGGATAATAGGGATTATGGATTGGATTCGGGTCCTCTTATATTCCTATTATACCACTATTACAGGGTGGGGGGTCCTCCTAATCCCTATCTGGGGTGGAGGGGGGATGAGTAAGACTTCAGCCGTTGATCTGAGTCGCTGCACCACCTGATCAGTGGACTAAGAAGTGAGACTACGCGGTTTAGGGTTTATAGTCCCCCTTAAGTAGATAGAATATGGGGTATGTGGGGATCTTAATATAATATACCCAAAGCCATATTCTATCTACTTAAGGGGGACTATATGGGAGACTATGGAGGAATGAAGCCGAGGATGTCCTGAGGGGTTAGGGGTAAAGGTCAGGGGGACCCCTCACCTTGTAATAGTGGTATATAGGAGGAATATAAGGGGACGCTGATCTAGTCCTTTTTATCCGTCATGAACACTATTATTTGGTGGGGGGGTCCACCTAAGGTATATCATAATAAGAGTAACAAAGGCAGGAACAAAAAGAATCTTCATATCATTGCAACTAATTATAACCATATTCATGTTGGTAGTACGATTGCTAGTAGTAATAATAGGGGTAGATACAACGTCAACGCTGAGGTTGGTTAAGTGATGCACTGCAGGGGGCGCGTGCTGCCATGTTGGAGGCAAGGGAAAGGATCGGCTTCTATAGGGGCTTTAAGGGTTAACTGGGATAGTACCCTAGGAATGGAGAAGCAAATGGAACAGAAGATGGAAATTTCAAAGGAAACTCGAATAGTGTCATCCAGGGATTTGTTAGGACTTCGTCGAGGTTAGGGGTCCTGTTTGGGGGTGCTTAAAACAAGGAACGTATTATATCGAGGTCTATGTAAGGGCAGCCTATTTCCAGGTCACCTGCTGCTGAGTGATTCAAGGAAGGTACGAATAGCGGCAAGCATCCGTAAGCAAGCTCAATGCGGGACCCTGGTAAGTCGTCTCTTTACACTCCCCAATACATTCCCAATGTCAAAGTTTCATAGCCCCCTTGAGTAAATAGAATATGGGATATATGGGGATCTTATTATAGTATGCCCAAAGCCATATTCTATCTACTTAAGGGAGACTATAAACCCTAAACCCTATATAAGCCATTATGGTAGTTTCCATGTTCTTTTCCATTATCCCCATATAACCCTAAGATAACCCCAATACAACCCCTATATAATGGGTGTGTAAATTGCGGCTTGGTCTCCTTGGGCTCTGCATGGCCATTATCCATGCCCCCCTCCCGCTTTCGATGTCGGGCCTCCTGTTGTAAGGCTTCGGGTTTAGGGGTTAGGGTTTTAGGGGGGTTTGGGGTTAAGGAGTTTGGGTTTTGGACCAGTTGGGAATTCAAAGTGCGCATTCAAGGACATAACGTTTAGGGTCAAAGTGCTTGAGCACCTGGTCCGAGGCGCTGAGCAGATCTGAGCGGTAGGCAGAACGCATGGGAAAAGATTCTGAAAGCTTTGCATTGGCATAGACTTTTGCAGTCTTCACTGGAAGCCAACCATTTCTGCTCAGACTTAACTGCACAGGGTTTGGGTAGGGGCTGCAGGCTTGTGCACTTCGAGCACATCGGAGGTTGAGGTTCCAGGGACTGTTGGTGTACCGCACACAAGTAAACAGTAGAAATTGGCATTAGATGTCTCATATGCAAAGACACTGTCTAAGCTAAAATAATGGCCTCAAATGTAGCAATAGCAATCTTATGATTCTCTCTCACAACCCTAAACCCTAAACCCACATTTGGGGTGGGGTGACCTGAGGTCAGTGCAGTTTGCCTCGAGGGAAACCTGAGGAGCGCACGACAGCTTACGCACAATTTGCTTTTTTTTGTGCGAACAGGTACATTATAGCATATCAGAATACATTAGAATACATTCATTATAACATACTATGGTACGTTCTAATACGTTATAGTACATCATAGTATATTATAGTACATTACTGCTTTTGTCCTGCTGCCCCCAGGTTGGAATGCCATACTGCTAAGGATGCGGGTTTCAGGATTTAGGGCTCAGGGTTCAGCATGTGAAGAATCGGCTGTAGATCTAGGAACAGTCAGATGATCAGAGCTGGGCTTGTCGACGCAAACCTGTGAGACCAAGCCCCATCTGTCTGGAACTCAGAGAAGAAAGTCTCTGGTTCTGTAAGGACCTGTATATATATATACATATATATATCTCTCTCTCTCTCTCTCTCTCTGTGTATGAAGTACTTAGGCATAAGTCCAACTATGGATCTCGCTCAAGAGCAACCCGAACAAGCCATTCTCTCGCCTGAACCCCACACCCTGAGTCCTAAGCTTTAGGTTCCTAAGCCTAAACCGTTCTAGTCTCCCTTAAGTAGATAGAATACGGTTTAGGGTTTAGGGTTTAGGGTTCAGGGTTTAGGGATAGAATATGGGGTATATGGGGATCTTATTATACTATACCCAAAGCCATATTCTATCTACTGAAGGGGGACTATAA